GGAACGTCCTGGGGAACTTCCCCCTTCTCTAGTTCCTCAAGGTCAAGCAGGAGGGGGGCCAGCAGTGGGGACTGGATTGCCCCAATCATGAGAACTTGACCTGGGCTTGGCTCTGCATGGGATGTCCCCATCTTCTGACCTCTGGCTGAAAATTTGCTGTTTCCTACAGAGGAAACAAGTCCTCGTCAGGCTGGCTGGCAGTTACATACTGGACACCAGAAGCACCTCCTTTGCAGTGTTGGTGGCCATGATCATTTGGGGACGGAGCTATTGCACGCTTTGTTCACTTTTTTGGTATTTTCTAGCTTGTCTACTATGAGCCTTTTTTAATATTTATTTTTTAGTTTTAGGTGGACACAATATCTTTATTTTATATATATGTGGTGCTGAGGATCGAACCCAGTGCCTCGTGCATGCTAGGCAAGCCCTCTACCACTGAGCCACAACCCCAGCCCCTACTGTGAGCCTTTTTTTACATTAAGAAATTTCTTAAACATTGTGAATTGTTTCAAAACCAGCCAACAGAACAGGACTCTTTGATGGGAAGTAGTGTTTTCCTTCAGAGAGGCCACCGGTTCTCGCCCTACAGTGTGGAACACAGGAGCTACCCAGACCTGTAGGGAGACGTGGGCAGCTTAGTTTGGACCTTGCTGGGCTCCAGGGCTCTTGGGTTCTTTCCTTACTGCTTGCCCAGCTGGATTCACTCTTGCTTACGGAAGGCTGACAAGAACAAGGACAACAAGATGAGCTTCAAGGAGCTGCAGAACTTCCTGAAGGAGCTCAACATCCAGGTGGACGACAGCTATGCCCGGAAGATCTTCAGGGTGCGTCTGGGCCTATGGTGGTAGTGGGGTCCTAGGTCCCCATCTGTGGCCAGCTCTGAGCCCTGACTTCCTGCTGTCCTGGCTTTGCAGGAATGTGACCACTCCCAGACAGACTCCCTGGAGGATGAGGAGATCGAGGCTTTCTACAAGATGCTGACCCAGCGGGAGGAGATCGACCGCGCCTTTGCTGAGGCTGCAGGCTCCGCGGAGACGCTTTCGGTGGATCAGTTGGTGACCTTCCTGCAGCACCAGCAGCGGGAGGAGGCAGCAGGGCCAGCGCTGGCTCTCTCCCTCATCGAGCGCTATGAGCCCAATGAGACTGGTGAGGGCCTGGCAGTAGGTCCCAAGGTCACTCTGGACTGGGAGACACCTAAGGAAACTGCAGACAGAGAAGGGGACTAAAGGGCAGGGGTTCTCAGCCAGCCTCAGGGCGCTTGGTCAGTGCTTGCCTGTCCCATGAAATCAGGCAGATGGGGGAGAGGACTCCAGTGTCACTGCCTCAGTTTTCCCCTTGATTCCTCCTTCAGGGGGCTTTGAGGTCCTCTTCCCCCAAGAAATAAAGAGGTGACTGGAGAAGCCAAAGCAATTCCTGTCCCTTCATGTCCATTCTGGGCCCACCTTTGAGATGTAACTGGGCGGAGAAAATAGAGCCCTTTTCCAGAGGGCACTCCTGTCTGGGTGCACAGAGGGGATGAGACCCTGTCCTCAAGGGCCTCAGGGTTTCAGGACAGAGTCAGAGAAGGTGACAGAGCCTCACTCTGTGGTCACAAGTCTCTGGCTGTGAGCCTCAGACTTATCCTGCTTCCCAGAACTGTGGAGGACCAGCTCTCAGGATGGGCAGGCAGAGGGTCCCTTTTCCAGATTGGTGGGAAGCCAGGAGGAGGTCTGGGGCAGCCACCTCTGACGGTCTCCTCCCTCCCCAGCCAAGGCGCAGCGGCAGATGACCAAGGATGGCTTCCTCATGTACCTGCTGTCAGCTGACGGCAGCGCCTTCAGCCTGGCGCACCGGAGGGTCTACCAGGATATGAGCCAGCCGCTCAGCCACTACCTGGTGTCCTCCTCACACAACACTTACCTGCTGGAGGACCAGCTCACGGGGCCCAGCAGTACCGAAGCCTACATCCGGTGAGGTCCAGGGAAGCCTTGTGGGTGGAAATCAGGAGGGGAACCCGGAACAGGACCTAGAGGGTCCTAGCCACCACCCCTACCCTCAGGGCCCTGTGCAAAGGCTGCCGCTGCTTGGAGCTTGACTGCTGGGATGGGCCCAACCTTGAGCCAATCATCTACCACGGCTACACGTTCACGTCCAAGATCCTCTTGTGTGACGTGCTCAGGGCCATCCGGGACTACGCCTTCAAGGTGGATGCTGAGCTCCCCGGGGGATGAGGAGGAGGGGCCTAGGCGTGGCCAACCTGTCCTAACATGCCCTTGGGCCTCCAGGTGTCCCCCTACCCGGTCATCCTGTCCCTGGAGAACCACTGCAGCTTGGAGCAGCAGCGCGTGATGGCAAGACACCTGCGCGCCATCCTGGGGCCCATGCTGCTGGACCGGCCACTCGATGGGGTCACCACTAGCCTGCCCTCCCCCGAGGTATGCGGTGGGGATGGGGGTGCCCAGAAGAGAGGGCAGGGACTGACTGGGAGGCCAGGGGGGTCCTGATGAGTTGCCCCTTCATCTCTAGCAATTGAAGGGGAAGATCCTGCTGAAGGGGAAGAAGCTTGGGGGGTTGCTGCCCCTGGGAGGGGAAAGCAGCCCCGAGGCCACGGTTGTGTCGGACGAAGATGAAGCTGCAGAGATGGAGGACGAGGCAGTGAGGAGCCGAGTGCAGCACAAGCCCAGGGTTCGAGAGGGAGCTGTGGGGTGGGAGGCCCTGGGGTACCTCCTTCCCCAGCCCCCTGGGACATTAGCCTTATCTCAGTTCTCTGGCTGCCATTCAGAACCTCTGCCCCCTCTCTCTGTCTTCCTCTGTCTCTCTCTGTGTCTGGGTTTCTGGCTCTCAGTGCCCACCCCACCCCAACCTCTGACTCTAACCCGGGCCTCCCCACGGCCCCCAGGAGGACAAGCTCAGGCTGGTGCAGGAGCTCTCCGACATGGTCATTTACTGCAAGAGTGTCCACTTTGGGGGCTTTTCCAGTTCTGGCACCTCCGGGCAGGCTTTCTATGAGATGGCGTCCTTCTCAGAGAACCGTGCCCTCCGAATGCTCCAAGAGTCAGGTGCGTCCCTCTGCAGGCAGAGGGTGCGGGCCATCTGTCTGACCATCTGGGCCAGCCAGGGCCAGGCCTGGCTGCTCTGCTCGTGCTTAGGCCCGGAGTTGGTGCTGCCTGCTCCGTTACCAGAGAGAACTGGTGGGAGGACCGTGGGTTCCCTGGGAGGCCTCCACTGCTGACCGAGCCACACCTCCCCTCAGGAAACAGCTTTGTCCGTCACAACGAGGGGCACCTGAGCAGGATCTACCCAGCCGGGTGGAGAACAGACTCCTCCAACTACAGCCCCGTGGAGATGTGGAACGGGGGCTGCCAGATTGGTATGGGCTGGCTGGGGTTGGAGGACACCTGGGGGAGGGTTTCAGTCCTGAGACCATTCAAAGCCCAGAGCCTTGAACGCCCCACAGTGAGAGGTATGGGGAGCTGAGCAGGGCAAGACGCAGGGGCTCATGGAACTGGTAAACTCTTTGGAAATATCTCCCCACTAGCATCTAAAAAACCCATCATTAGCGAACTAGCCCTTTGAGTTCTGACACCAGAAGCATAATATAACCCATTAACATGGGGTCAGTATGCTGGGTCAGTTAGTGGAGAAGGCAGTGGGTCCTGGCTTCTTACTGTGCAACCCTAGGCCTCAGTGTACCCGAGGAGGCTGGCTCTAGGCCCCTGAGGTCAGCCCAGCCTGTGAGTGCTCTGTCCTGCTTGTAGTGGCCCTGAACTTCCAGACACCTGGGCCAGAGATGGACGTGTACCAGGGTCGCTTCCAGGACAATGGGGCCTGCGGGTATGTGCTGAAGCCTGCATTCCTGAGAGACCCCAACACCACCTTCAACGCACGCGCCCTGACTCAAGGGCCCTGGTGGTCCCGGAAGCAGCTCAGCATCAGGGTATGGACAGACCCAGGAGGGACCCGGTGCCCATGGACCTTCCCCACCCCCATCACTTCCATTCCTGAACTCTTCCTTGTCCCCCACCTGTCCTCAGGTCATCTCTGGACAGCAGCTGCCCAAAGTCAACAAGAGTAAGAATTCAATTGTGGACCCCAAGGTGACAGTGGAGATCCATGGCGTGGGCCGAGACATGGCCAGCCGCCAGACTGCTGTAATCACCAATAACGGTAAGTCCTGGGCCTGAGCCGGGCCCAGCTCCCGGTGCTGCTGGTGTGCATGCGGTTGATACGGTGCCTGTCCCCCAGGTTTCAACCCGTGGTGGGACACGGAGTTTGAGTTTGAGGTGGCTGTGCCTGAGCTGGCGCTGGTCCGCTTTGTGGTGGAGGATTACGACGCCTCCTCCAAGAACGACTTCATCGGCCAGAGCACCATCCCCTGGAACAGCCTCAAGCAGGGTGAGTGTGTGGCAAGGGCAGGGGACAGCCTGGATGGGGTGTCTCTTGTGTAGGACCTGGCTGTGCCAGGGCACACCCTCCCTGGGTCACCAGAACTCTCCTTCCTGCCTGCCAGGGTACCGCCACGTCCACCTCCTATCTAAGAACGGAGACCAGCATCCATCAGCCACCCTCTTTGTGAAGATCTCCATCCGGGACTAGGCCTCTGGGGTCAGGTGGGGTCCACCCTGAGAGTCCATCAGGCCCTCTGTCCACACCTGGAGGCAGGGCTGGTGTGGCTGCTCCCAACCTCCACCACGGAGCCAGAGGTCCCTGAATGGCCTTCAACGCTAACACACTGTCTGTGCTGCTGCCTCTCTGGGGTTCCAGGAGCTACCCCCGGGCCCTGGAACTGTCCTCATTTCCGTTAGCAACAACACTGCAGCCCTCTCCGCCCTCTGGCCAGTGTTAGGTCAAGGGTTTTTATAAAAATCACAGTAAGACTAAGCCTTGTGGTCTCCCTTTCTGGGATATAAAATCCCCCGTGAAGGGCATGTCCCTTCTCCATGCTCCTGAGGGTGGTCTGGAGAGGGCAGCCAGAAGCACACTGAGAGATCCGCGTCTGAAGGCACACGTACCACACCTGGTGCACACCACTGCCTTTTATTGGCAAAGGTGAGGGGGTCTGGGGGTGTGAGCAGAGCCCCCCGGACTCAGAAGAAGCCCAGCTTCTTTTTCTCCTGCTGCTGCTTCCACTTGGCCATGCCGTAGAACTCCTTCTTGGATTTCCCAAAGATGTCTTGGAAGTCAGCGTCTGAGAGATAGAACTGGGGGAGGGATGTAGGGGAGGTTGTCATGAGAGCCCAGAGTCCTATCCTACCTAGAGATGTCATCAGGGCACTGCCACCCATCTGGGACACGCCTCCCATCCCTGCACAATGGGCTGATGGTGTCCTGGGCTCCTCCAGCACAGCGTTAGGTGTGGGGCAGTAAGTGATCACCCACCTCCTTGCGGGTGGGGTCCACGCCCTGTGGCAGGTCCTCAACGGCCTGGTACCTCAGCCGTTCGGGGGGCAGGCTCCCACTGTCGACCAAGCTGACACTGCTGCTGCTGCTGCTGTTGCTCTTGCTGATGCTGGCACTTCTGCTGCCTACCCTGGGCCCCAACTCCATCTCTGAGATGTCCTGGCTGTCTTTGATGGCTGGCAGGTCTGGAGGACCTGCTCTGCTCTCGCCTGGCCACTGGGATAGCTGGAAATTGTTGATTTCCTGTCCAGAGAGGGACCTCACGCTGGGGAAGATTGGAATTAGGCACTCCTCGGGGAGGTGACATTGAACCCACTTGCCTCTTGCCCCCAGCTGCAACCCTGACCACCTACCAGGCCCCTGCCCGCTCTGGATCGTGCTATCCAAGCCTACACCACTGTGGGCAATGCCATGGTAGGGTTCCCAGTACTCACTGCTGTGATCCCAGAGATGGCAGATTCTGTTCCCAAGTGGGAGACCCCACTCTTCACCACCTCCTCATAGGACCGGTTGTTCTGGGAGCAAGAATGAGGTCAGTTATCAGGGCTGGGCAGATGAAGGGGCACCCCTGAGATAAGGCCAGTGAGGACACGGTCAGAGCTCCCTCACACATGTTGGAGGTCCCCAGCCAGACCAGCACCTCCTCCTTCAGTTGGCTCCGGGAGGTCCCACTCCCCCCAAATGAGGATGGGGCTAGGGATTTGGGGCCTTACTCACCGACCACATGTAGGGGTCCCAAGTGGAGAACCATCCTGTGAAAGTGGGCGGCTCATGGCCTTGCTTGACCAGCACGATGGGCGTGGCCAGGCTTCTCCCTGCTGGATGGGTCCTCAGGTACTCCTGGCCCCAGGCCACCGCGTCCTTCCGCTCACTGGCGGCAGCACCAAGCCACAGGAATATCTGGGCCACAGAGGGGGCCTGGTCTGGGACATGTGGAGGGGCTGCCTGGAGCCACACACCTCCTCCCGGCTCCCTGTCTATCTGATGACCTCAGAACCCCACCCACACAGCCCTGGCCACCCGGACACACCCAGCACGCTACCACCCACACAACAGTGAACACAAGAAGGTCCACATGCATTCATGCATTTGTCCCACAGATATTTATTAAGCACCCACTGTATGCCAGGCACTGGGGAGTCAAAAATTTAAAAAATAGATAAAAATCCCTGACTTTTTTTTCATGAGGGAGCAGGTCACATGTGTGTCTGAGGAGACAATGAAGAAGAAGCCACCAGTACAAAGGTCCTGAAGTGACCATGCGCCTGGCATGTTCCAGGAACAGCAAGCAGAACCAGCAAGGGGAGGGTGGGAGGAAATCAGGTCAGAGAGCTGGGGCTGATCAGGTCCAGTGCAGCTATAGGAAGGGCTCGTTTTTTCTGAGGTGCATGCCCACAGCCTTGCCACCAACCCACATGCTGCCACAGACGTGGACTCCCACAGGCACAGTGATATAAAGGCACACCAGCCTCCCTTGTCATCCAGCCCGACAGCAAATCACAGCCACGTATTGCCATCACTATTGTCTAACACATGGTGTGACAGTCACACGTGATCAGCCACTTACACCACTTTGGAAAGTCACACAGAAACACAGTGCCACAGACACACAGAGTCACTCGGTTGCTCACACCCACCTCAGGTCCTGTGGTTTCTTTCTATCTGCCACATACGTGTGTATGCAAGTGAGCGTGCACACACACACATGCACACACACACACACACACACACATATATATACATGAGTCTCATGGTAGAGTCCCCAAGGTCTGGCCAGTTCTAGTCAGTTACTTGACCCCACTGTCACTGACACATCAGGCTCCCATCCAGGTGCATATCCAAGAGCAATAGTCACAAGCATCACCCCACATACCTTCGGTCAGTCCATCCACTGACCATTACTCACTCCACCCTGACAGGTCCAGCCCAGGTGTGCCTTCATCTGGAGCCACACACAGCATTGTAAGATACTCAGGGTTACACACAGCTACACACATGGTCCCGGTCAGACGAGACCCATAGAAGACTCAGTACTTTCACACAGTGACACAGACAGCCACATGATTGCACCATTAGTGTCATAGTCACTCACAGCTTATGTGGAGTCATACCCAGTTACACAAATACAGACACACCCGCATTCACACTCCAGCCAGGCAGGAGTGGCCGCTTACCTCCTGCCAGGTGTCCAGCAACATGATGTCATGCTTGTCCAGATCTCCTTGACGGAAGAACACCACTTCTGAGAGGACCAGGCAGCCTTCCTGGCTGGAGCACTCAAACAGTCGTGGCTGGAAGCTGGTGGCCTCCTCCGGGAGCCTGGCCAGCACGGAGCATGGGGCACAGAGGTGCTGTACCTCTGCAGCCTGGGCCCTGCCCGCCCTCAGCATATAGCACCCACCCCAGGGCCAGGAGGCAGCTTCTCTGGGGTAGGAGACTGGGCCTTCCTCTTAGCTTCACCCACCCCAGGGCCAGGAGGCAGCTTCTCTGGGGTAGGAGACTGGGCCTTCCTCTTAGCTTCACCCACCCCATAATTCTCTCCAGGAGCCCCCTGCTCCTCTCTGGGCTGCAATTCCTTTCTGTCCATGGAGAACGCAGACTAGGTGATCTATCTGTCCCCAGCCAGCTGTGACACCAGCTGTCCCATGAATTTCCCTGGAATGGACACTGGGGAAGGGTATGACAGCACCCTCTCTGGGAAGGGAGAGTCCTCTAGGCACACCCCTGGGTGGCGTGGCCTCAGGCCCCAGGATTAAGGAAGGGAAGCTAGGCTGGGCTGGGTGAGGGGATGATCGTACTGAGCCGGGGAGACTCAGCAGGTGTGGTGCAAAAACAAAGCCCCACAGTCACACCAGCAAGGCCTGGAACTTAGCCACCTCTTCCCTTAAGGTCTAACTCTGCCCTTTCCTCCAACATATACCTCATTCAATTACCCAGGCGGGGCCAGGAGGGGAATGTTGAGGAACAGTGCCTTTGCCCAGGACAGTGACACTGCAGGGAGAGGATTAGGCCAGCAGAGGGCACCACTTCCCCTGCTCTCCTGGAATCTTCTGATCCCAGTTACCCAGGCCTGGCGAATGAAGGGTGGGCTTTGTTCCTGAGCCTCTGGGGGGTAGATTTGAGAGTCCTCAGTCCTAGTCATCTCTCCAGCTCTCTGTGTGACCCTTGATTAGTCACCCACCCCCTATGGGCTTCAATTCCTCCTTGGAATAAGAACACTCTCCTCCCAATTCCCTTACCTCTTGCTGCTGGGGTAGGGGGCCCGGCCCCCCAGGGCCTCCCAGAATTGGGGAGGCTCCTGACCCTCTAGCACCGTTTCCTTGTCATTCCCGGAAATGACAGTGACCACTGTCCGTGCCATCTCACGCTGGTCACCGTTACAGCCCTGGCAAGCATAAAGCTGGGTCAAGCCCCACAGGGGGCAGGCCGTGGCCTCCAGTCCTACATCCCACTCACCCGGCCTGTGGAAAGTTGGGCCTGAGCCACAGGAGACCCAAGCTGATGGCAGGGCATGTGTGAGCAAGGAATCTATCTCCCTTCTTTCCCCTCTAAGACTCAGTTTTTCCGGCTGATCAGGGTCACATGTTCTGGATCCCCCTCTGCATCCAGAGTATGAATGGGGATTCCCAGGCTTGAGGGTGATTCATGGTTCATGCTGAAGTTCATAGAAAACTCCAGCAAACCAGAGTAGGCCTTCCCCTTTTCCCAAGAGACTTGGGATGGGCTAGGACCTCTGCTTAAGGCAGGAAGGAGGGGAGGGACCTGGGGCCAGGCCTGGCTCCAACCCATGGATTTGCACATCCACCTGTTGCTCTGTGACTTCCTCCTAGTTCCATCAGGAGTGCTGTGGCTCTTCACCCTCACCCCTGCCCTAACCTCACCCCCATTGGCCTATTTTGGGCCTGTCCCCAGGTACGAATCAAGCAGTCAGTCCTACAGGTACCTTCCCGAACCAGAGGTAGCAGACACCAGCTGTGACTAGCAAGAAGACCTCACTGGAGTTGAGGGACGAGGCTCGGGCTGGCACCTCCATGGTCCTGGTGTTGTAGCCGTCAGTGCCTTGCACGTGGAAGAGCCTGGGGACAGAGGCTGGCTGCCCCTTCCCGTGGTGCCCAGTGCTCCCCTAGAAAAGTGCTAGGCCTCAGGCTCCTGGGCAGGGGGGTTGCCTCTCTGTCCCAGTAGGGACAAACTGCCCCAAGACTTAGGCCAACATTGTCTTCTGGACCCTCTGAAGGTGGAGTGTGGGGATCCATCAGTCTAGGACAGGAAAGCAAGCCCTTTGTAAGTGGACCCCTCACCCCTTCTCTGCAGAGTCAGGGCACAATGCCCGGGCCTTGAAGGTGTAACACCAGGAGCAGTTCTACCTGTGTATGACATCACTGGGTCCCTTTTGACTCGGTTTCCTTGCCTATGTTCCTGCTCCATACTTATCTGTGGGACTATGGGGTCACCCTTGGGGTTCCTGGGCCTTGGACAAGCACCAGGAAACCACATGCTGGAATGCTGGACCCCAGACCTGAAGAGGTGTTTAGCAAGTTCATGCAAGGGCTACGGCCACGTCCAGGCCTGGGGAAGCTGCCCCTGCAGCAGCAGGGTGGGCCCTACCTGGAAGATCACCAGCTGGCCTTGGAAGATGGCAAGGAAGTGGGGAGGCTCGCTGCCCATTGTCACATGCTCCTGCACCAGAGCTCCCTGGTACAGGTGGTCCAGCTCCTCAGCATTAGAGTGCAGGGCCTTGGTCTCTTCTGCTGTGGCCTGATGGCCCTGTGGAGTTTGGGGAGACAGTGATGGCCCAAGGCAGCTCTCACATTTCCTTCTCTGGCTCTAGCTCTTAGACTTTAAGGTGTGCACCACCTCCCTCCAGCCGGTGCACCTGCCATGAGTACAAGATGTACTGGATGCGGCCCAGTTTCTGGTATGTGTAGAGGACGAGGTAGCAGTTGCTTGAGCACAACTGTCCATGACGCTTGGAATCCACGGGCTGCCTGCGTGAGTCCTGGATGCACCACATCTGAGGAGAAGGGAACCAGTGGGCAAAGGTAGCTCCTCTACCTGAACCAGCCTGCCTATCCACACCTACCCAGAAAGCTCTCTTTCATTCCTCATCTTGTGTAGGCAAGGAGCTCACCCCAGCTCTGCAACCTCCCCATGCTCTGTGCTGAATCTGCAGGTGACCCTTTTCCCCCACGGACCCCTGGAACCCATCACACCTGAGCTGATCTGCTCTCAGCCAAGACTGAGTTTGCATGTGGTACCTGAGTAAACGAGTGGCAAGGACTTCAAAGGATGTGACCTGGACCACCCTGCCCCAACCTCACCCCAAGTCCCAGCCCCGCCAGCCACAGCCCTGGTCAGGGGCAGACAGGACCTCACACAGACACTGTTCAGGCCAGGTCAGCAGAAGTCAGGCCTCGAAACATTAGGGAACATGCCCTTTTGGCTTTCAAGTGTCATTAAAACTACAACAACAACAACAACAAAGCCTGCTCGAAATCGGAGAGGAAAACACTTCCTCACATTTGTCAGTGTTCCCTGTTCCCCCAGGTAGCCACCCTTTGGAGCCAGGTAGACAGACCCTGGTCAAATTGCAGGTCTGTGTGGTTAGCGGTGAGGCCCTCAAAGCTTTTGGTTTTCCCACTTGCAAATTGGGGATCCCAGCACCTACTTCACTTTGCCTCTACAGGCCAGGAAACAACGTCTGGGCATCCTTTACCCACACAAAGCCCAAAAGCTTCTCTGGGGGAACTTTCCTTCCAGACCAGAGGATCCAGAACCCTGCCTTTTGCAGAAGATGCTCATCTGGGCCACACACCACCCAAGAGTGGCACTTACCTGGAAACTAGGCCTCCCGTCTCAGGCCTCTCTGCCTGCTGCCCACTGTCTCCGCTCCCTGTACTTGGATCCTGGGTCCCATACTCTCCTTCCCTTGCTCCCTTGCCTACCTATGGCTTCCCTGCCTTGCTCTCTCCCTGCTGCTCCCTCTGTCTCTCTCAATGCACCCCTTTTCCCCAACCTACCTTTTCCTTGCCCTGAACCCCCAACTCTCCCTGCTCATCCTTTACCCCATCTCTTCCTCCTCTCTCCATCTCTGCCCCACTCCCTGCCTTTCCCAGTCTCCTTACCCACCCCGCATCCCATCTTCCCCTCTGCAGGCCTTTCCCCTTCCTTTCCCCACTTGGTGCTTCTCCTCCTCTCTTTGTCTCCCACCACTCACCTCCTCTGCCCATCTCTATTAGGGCAAACATAGGAGGCATCTTGTATTCCTCTGACCTCAACCTTCCTCCAGAACTAGGACCCCTCATCAGTGGTCCCGTTTCTGTAATCTCACAGCATCCCCACATCAGCCTTGGGACCAGATGGGACCAATTTCTGCCCACACTTTATAGATTTAACAGTGGAGTCCCAAAGGACACCAAAGCCTCTGCTTGAGGGTCAGCCAGCAAATCAGTGTGCAATCGTGTGCTGCATGGAGCCTGGAAGTGGCCTTCAACACCTGCGGCTCCTAGCACACTGGTCTGAGACCAGATGAGTGGTTCACAGTTGAGGACTGTATAGGGGGCTGGGAATAGGGGGCTGAGATAGATTATGTGTGGCTGTGCATCTGTGTTGGTGTTGACCATTGTGTGACTGCTGTCATGTGTGATACAGAGTCATGCAATTTCATATTTGCACTTGTGCACCTGGCTATGATGATGCAATCACTAAGTATGAGTACCTGTGTCTGTATTGTCATAGGTATGGGCTTGTCACACATATAACTATGTATGATTAGGCTTGACTGTATCAGTCAGCTGTCAGGCAGAGTTTGTGTATGTGCACGGGTTACTGGTTGTCCCCAGTTGTGTGTGGATGTGCATCCGGGTGTCCTAGGGTCACCTGAGATAGCACCACCCGTATGGTTTACCAGTGAGCAAAGCATAGCTAGTTAAATCAGCCTCTCACCTCCACCTTCCCAGAGCCGTCGTCCACCATCCTGAGCTGGGCCGCTAGCTCTGGCTGGCTGTGCAGCTTGCCCACGTCCAGCTTTACCTGAATGGATCTACCTGAAGATGAGACAAGGGATGTCAACGGAGCTTTCTTTCGGCTCAAGTCCCAGCCTCCACCAGCCCCGCCCCACTCACTCTTCAGGGTCCCTCCTAGACTCCAGGGCCCTCCCTGGCCAGTCCGGACGCTCTGGCCACGCCCCTTCACTCTTAGTGCTGAGTTCTGTCCAGCACCCCTCGGCCAGGGCCACGCCCGCTCCCGCTCGCCCCTCACGGCGAACCACGTGTTCCTGCCAGGCCCCGCCCCTCTCCCGCCAGGCCCCGCCCCTCCAGCCGCGTCTCCCCCGCGCACCTTTCCGGTCCAGCTTTTTCCTGCCCAGCTCGCGAGTCCACGTTCGGAAGAGCTGCTTGAACGCGGCGGACTCGGCGCCCTCGTTCACCACCTCCACGTTGGTGTAGGTCGGGTAGCCCTTGGCCTGGATGAAGCCCTGGGGCCGGGACTCCATCAGGCCTGCATTGCGCTCCACCTCCCAGGGGCCGCCCCCCACTACAGCGGCAAAAGCAGCTCAGCTCTGAGACGCGTTAATTAACAAGTTTGTGACCCATTTAACAAGCCGGCACTGTCATTACCGACTTCTCTGAGGTCCCTGTGGGCAGACAGAGGTCCCCAAGTCCCAGCCTAGAGAAGAGCTGGCCATGACAACTCATGCAGACCCAGGCCAAACCACTTCTACCCCCCACCCCAGAAAGGAGGGGACACCCAGTGCAGAAGGCTCCCAGACCTCAAGGCTGGGCCATGTGCTATCTCTGTCTCTATCTCTATCTCTATCTCTATCTCTATATAGATAGATAGAACATGGCTCAGGGTGCATCCACTTTCTGGCTCCAGGTTAGGGTTTCCTCTCCTTTGGGACCCCAGGATGTGGATATTTCCCAAGTCAAAGTTCTAAGTTCCCCCTCCCTTAGATCCCCAGGGAAGGAAACCCCCTGCCAGATTTCAGGGCCAGTCTCCTCCCTAATCAGAGCCCAGAGCTGTGCTGTGTCTCTCAGACAGGGACCCAGGGCCTCACCACAGCCCTGCTGAAGGCAGCCTTTTTCTCCTCCACGTTGGACATACGTCCCTGCCATAAGTAGATCTTAAAGCCACCCTGGTCCAGGATGTAGCAATCCTAGGAGGCAGGATAGGTCTGGTTAGTAGGTGGTCCAGACAGCTGGGCTTGTGGAGTAGAGATGAATCAAGGGGCTGGGGGTTTTCTCACCTCCTCCTGCAGCAAGTCCTGGGTTAGGGGGCGGGTTGCCAATTCCTGTATCACCAAGTCCTTGCCTTTCTCATAGACACTGGGGGACAGGCATCCAGGTTATGGGCAGCCCAGTCCCTCCTTGGCCTGGCTTTACCCTGCCCCTGTTTGGAACTTCTACTTCCCCAAAGACAGAAGGCATGGGAGCTGAAGGGAGTTGTGGCCTTGCCGTAGAGCCTTATACAGCTCCTTGACCTTCATGGGGCCTCATTCCCTCATCTGCACAAAGGGTTTTCCAGTAGGGTTGCCACACATCATTTGAGAGTATAGGATAAACCCAAGGTCCCACATGCCAGGTCCCAGAAATCCATCTGCTTTTACTGGAGGGCTTTCTAGAGTTGCTGTGCTATTGCAGTAATGCTGGACAAGCAGTCCTGGACTGTTCTGCCCACCACCCTGTCCTCCCTCAATTCTGCTCACTGGTAGAGGCGGACATTGGCCTTCTGTAGCTGGTTAATACTCCTGGTGGGCATGGCTGCATGCAGATTGCTCACTCTGCAACCCAGCACAGCCTCCATGATATGTGTGGGGTCAGTGACTTCAACTCCATCATCCACTATGCCAATCTGTGCACGACCACCACGTTCCCTGTCCCGGATGCTGCAGGTCAGAACCAGGCCCTTTGGAGAGGAAATGGCAGTCAGGCTTCCCAGGTGTGCCCCCACTCTGGCAGCCCAGCTCAGATATTTCCTGTCACTGCTCAGCTCCCAGAGGCAGGGATGGTGGGAAGGGAAAGCTGTTGTCTCCTCCCTCTGGCATCTGGGGGGCCATCACCAGTGCAGGGGCTGAACTCAGCTTGTGCCCAGTAGGTGCTTCTGATGGAGGTGGAGAGTCCAGCCCACTTCTTGGGGTAGACAGGGGATAGAAACCTGTAGGACCAAGCCCTGAACCCCCAGTTCCTAGGGCAGACACTGACCCGAGATTTCTCAGAAATGCTGGTCTTGGACCCATTCCACTGGATCATCACCATGCCCAGGTCCAACAGGAAGATGTCTCCTTTATTAAAGCTGTTCCAGGACAGCTCCACCTGCCAGAGTCAGGAGCAACAGGGAGGAAAAAAAGTGTGTCATACTAGCAGCACCCAGCCAGAGGGGAGCATAGCTGGAGTGTGTCACTTAGACACATGAAGCCCTGTGACTGTAACAACACCTAACACAATGTGCAGGCATGCATCTATGTAATCAAAAGTAATCTGGAGGGTGGCTCTCTGTGTCTGTGTACATCTCTAGGAATGTGTGCTTGTAGACAATGCTATATCCACAGGGCGAACATGACTAAGCATGACACTTTTCATTCAAAGTATGTCTAAAGCTGCACATATGTATATAGGTGGGGTGTATGCATTTATCTGTGTGTACATGTACATGTGTGGGAGTATATCAAATATGAACAAGTTTGTGTGCTCATGGTGACAGTGCACATGTGCTTGTATGGGGACAGTGTCTATCTATGGAAATCTATCCAAATGGACAGTGCACATGTGCTTGTGTGGGGACAGTGTCTATCTATGGAAATCTATCCAAATGGAAACACGTTTGAGGATAAAAGGGGGCACTCCAAATAATTATGCCAGGATAATAGTGAAACTTAATACTGTATGGTGTCCCAGCATGATCAGGGATGCATGGTCACTGGATCTGTGGGTGACAGTGCAGAGCCTGTGGAGGGCTGCCACCTATTATGCAGACTGAAGGACCTTGGTTCACACTGTTGACATTGTACTCCTGAGTGATCACTACACCACATTCTGGCCTGATGGCAGTATAATGACTTGATCTAACAAGATCAGTATCTTCCTTAAATTTCTTGACATCTGGAAGCAAGGGATGCTCTGTGCTGATTTGCACATGGATATCATATGGACTAGAGTAGCCCTGAGGGTGTAAGGAGAGACAGTGTGGATGACAGTGACAGTGTATGTGAGAGAGCCTGAGACTCTGCACTCCTTCACAAATGTGCCACCTCCCATTGTGCTGCTTACAAGGACCAGGTGCACAATCTTATCTGCCTCATCTGCCCAAATTCTTAACATGCCCATGAGACAGGTGAAGAAGAGGGTCCAGGGAGCCGTGGCAGAGGTGGAGCTGGAAGACTGGCTCTGCCTTCTCTTCTTATTCGGGTCAGGCCTTCTGGGAACGCTGACAGCTCATCCCCACCCCCCACATTCCCTACCAACTTCCACACTTCCTTATACTTCAGTATACTCAGTCCAAGCTGAGTCCAGAGGTCAAGTGCCTTCTTGGCGACCCTCACCTCGGTGGCAGACACGTGCTTCCTCGCTTTGATGTGCAGCAGTCGCTGGATGTGGTACATGTTGGTATCCACATGCTTGACGTCAGAGGCTAGGCCCCCCTTCCTGTAGCTGAGAAGGGAACGGGTCCCACTTAGAAACACACACTGCCATGTGTAGGAATGAGTGAAAAAGTGAGCACATGCACACGTGCATAGGGGATGTCATGTGCCTGTTCAGTGCATGTTAGAGTAAACATGAGGCATGAATGTGTGTTTTATCCATGTGTAGAGATGTGGACATGTGTGCATCTATGTATGTGTGTATTCTTTTGGAGGTTCAGTGTATATCTATTTACCCATGTAAGTCTGGATGGGAGTACATGGAAATGGGTAACGACATAGATATGTTCAGGAGGACATGACTATTTACACATGGGGGGTGTGCCCATCTACAGGTGGACATGCACAGGAGGTGGTGTGTGTTTCTGCATATGCATGTATACTTGAATGCATGTGTTCATGTATATACTACATGAACAAATGTAGGCCCAACTGTATGAAGCAGACATGGTCAGATATTGACAAGTTCCTATGTTCAACCTAAATATATTACAATTATTAATTTAAAAACCATTAAAGTAATTTATAGCAAAAGACATTTCTTTACATATATATGTATACAAATACACACACACACACACACACACACACATATATATATATAATTGTAGATGGACATAATTCCTTTATTTTATTTATTTTTTTGGGGTACTGAGGCTCGAACCCAGTGCCTCACTCATAGGCCAGCACCCCCCAAAAGACATTTCTACCAGCACAGCAACATAGAAGAAAACTCAAAACAATGTTGGTGTCCACTCCTAGGTATATACCCCAGAGAAATAAAAACATTTGTCCACACAAAAACTTGTATACAAATGTTCATGGTGGAAACAGCCCAAATGTCCATTAAGTGAATAAATAAAATATGGCATATTCATACAGTGGAATAGTATTTGGTAACAAAAATAAATTATTAATAATGCCTGATACAACATGGATGAACCTTGAAAACAGCATGCTAATTGAAAAAAGCCTGTTATGAAGGACCACTTATTGTAAGGGTGATAAAAACGTTCTCAAACTGCTCATGGTGCTGGTTGGGCAAGCCTGTGAAAATCACTGAATGGCATATTGAAATGGGTGCATGGTATGGTATGTGGGTCGTATCTCAACAAAGTGCGCTCTCTCTCTCTCTCATACACACTGTATCTCTCTCTCACACACAAATGCATGCACACACGCACATGCACACACACTTTCCATTTAGCAAATGGGGGTAGTCATCCCAAGGCAGCCTGAGCACTGGATTCACCACCGGGGCCTCCCAGTCCCAGTTCCTCCCTACTCTGCCCCGCACTCACATGACTCCCGGATGGAAGTAGCTGTGGAAACACTCGGACTCATGGCCCTGCACTTCCCGATGTTGCACTGTCCGGTCCCCCAGCTCCTCTTGCAGGTGCTGCACAAAGGTGCTTGCAGCACCCTGAGCCTCGGTGCTTGCCTCCTTCCCGATCCAGTAGTGCAGGTCGCTGGATGCTTCCTGTGTGGCCTTTTTGCTCCGGGGGACCTAGGGTTCATGTGTTTGTGTATGTGGGGGTGGGCAGGCAGAGGAGCAGGAACAGGGAGGAGTCCAGGCATCAAGGCCCAGGTGGAAACGAGGTAAAGGGTAGAGGAGATGGTGGGCAGATGCTCTGTGGACAGATCATGAAGGGGCAGCAGGGGCTAAGAGGGCTCAGGGCAGCAGCCCCCCTTGGGGGAGGTGATTCTGGGGCTCTCAGCTTGCCTCTTTCTAGGGCAGAGATAGTGTCTGCGCCTTGGAGTCTCCAGTGCTGGGCCATGTCACCCTCTGTCCCAAACACAATCCCCATGTGACTCACATGGAGGATGATATAGCAGTGTTTCTCAAAGAAGTTCCCGTAAGCCTTCTCAGGTACTGGCACCATCTTCAGGTTCTGGGAGAAAAGGGTGCCATGTGACAACTCAGAGACCCCCCTCCACCCATAATCTCCAGCCCTGGTGTGTGTAGGGGAGAGAGCTCTGGGTTGGGGGCAGGAGGAGCCTGGTTTCTGAAACCCCACACCTACCATGTCACCATCTGTGCCGTGTGTCAGACCTCTTACCTCGATGATCCATATTTGGAGGTCTCTGTGGCTGTCGATGGCTGGTAGGCCCTTGTTATTGTTCATCCTAAACCAGGCAGGAATGAGAGAGGACACAGGGAACAAGAGCCAGAGTTCTCAGGTAGTAGGTCCACCTCCTAGCCACCTGTTCTCCGGGCTCCAAACAAGAATTCTTCCCACCTACAGCTCTCCAAAGCACCTTCGTCATGAAGTGTGACTTTCATTAGGAGGGCTCTGTAAACACACAGACATCAGAAAACCAGGACAGGCACTGTAGCCCAGTATATGGAGACTTTGCAAACAGAGACCTGGGTGCTCTTAGAACAGGGCTGAGCTCTCTGGGCAGGGGCAGGCTTTGAAGCCAGCAACTGCTGCAAATAAGGAGTTAGAAACAGGCTATATAGACAGATGCAGGATCTGCTTTCAGGGGCACTTGCTGCAGAGAATGGTAGGTTCTACAATCAGGCAAAAGCTCTGCCAGTAGGAACAGATTCAACAGGCGGGGACAGAAGGCCAACAGGGACAGGCTCTTGAAATAGAACTCAATCCTGTAGACAAAGACAGGCTCCGCACACAATCGAGCTACAAATAGACACAGGTTTTCCAGGCAAAGTTAGGATCAGGCTATGCCAACAGCAGGGACCTACTCGGTGACAGGCTCTGTGGACAGAAAAAGGCTTGCAAACAGGCGAAGGCTTTGCAAGCAGGGACAGTTTTCTCAGACTGAAGAAAGGGTTGCAAAGTCTCCGGTTCTCTTGATGGAAATGACGGTGTGCGCGTGCAAGGATGGCCTGTGCATCAGACACAGGCACAGCCCAGGACAACTGATACAGGCTGCTCAAACCAGCATGACTGTGAACACTGACAAAGGCTTTACAAACAGTTATGGGTGTTGCAGGCATGTGGGAGCTTTGCACACTGGGAAAGGCTCTGCCAACGTGGATGGGGACAAGCCTCAAGACAGGGACTCTTTGTATAAGGGACAGACTCTGCAGACATGGACAAGTTCATAGATGGGCAAGGCTCTGCAAACAGGTGTCCCATTTTTGGCCAGAGAAAGGCCTCGCAGATGGAGGCAGGCTCTCTTTGGCATGAGTGTGCTCTGTATGCAGGGTAGCCTCTGCAAACAGACTCAATTCCTACTTACAGGGAGATGAGAATAGGCCAGGAAAATAATCATAAGCTCTAAAAAGAGATCAGGCTCTGAAAAAAGACTCAGGCCCTGTAAACAGAAAATCCAGAGATGTGATTTGCAGATAAGAGATTTTACAAGCCAACACAGGGTCTTCAGACAGACAGGTTCTGTAAACAGTGGTGGTTCCTCCAGAGAAGGAGGAGCTGCCGAAGGAGTGGCAGGAGTCAGCTTTGTGTGCCAGCACATCTACTCCACATGTAGACAAGACTGAAGCAGGGCTGGGTTCTGTGGAGGGCCCTAAGCCCTGTGCCCTGCAAATGGGTTGGGCTTTACAGAAGAAGATCAGTTTTGAGACAGGTAAATGTTCTATAAACAGGGAAAGGGTCTCTAACAGGTACACATGAAAATAGGAATAGAGTTTTGCAGATAAAGATTCTGAAGATAGGGGTGTGCTTTGCAGAAAGACACCTATGCTCCCAGACAGACAGAGCCCTCCCACCCCCCCAGCAGGGTAAACTCCATCAGAACAAATCCTACAAGAAGACAGTTTCTACCCAGGGAAATTCAGATAGGCTGGGCTAACAGGCACAAGTCCTGACAATTGCCAAAGACGCTACCCATAGACCACAGAAAGAATCCAGACCCGAAATAGTCTGAGGTCGAGACACTCACGTGGAGGGAACTGTTTCTGCTAAGGGGAACAGGTGCTGCTTGAACAGACAAAGCTTTGCAAACAGGGGCAATGTCTTTATGTACAAAAATGTGTCCTAGACAAAGGCACCAGACAAGTTCTGCAGACAGGGATGAGCTGAGCATGCACAACAGCTTCTGCAGGGAAAGCAAATCTTAGGCCCAGGGAAACAGGGACCCACTGTTGAAAGAGCCCCGGAGTCTGAAAACAGAGGCTTCAGGCAAAACCAGGCTCTGCAGAGAGACAAAGTTCTATAAATCCAAGACAGAGTGCACACAAGAACTGTCTCTGAAGACTGTGACAGAGTGCAGCAAGTGACAAGCTCAGCTGGCCTAAGCGTTGGGCAAATGAGGCATAAGCACTCTTGACAGATTCTTGAAACTGGGCTGACCTCTAACACAGAGACTCTGCAAACTGACCTGGGTCACTTAGGTTTGGACTCTGTGGGTTCTGAGTGTGCAGAGGAGGGAGAGAAACATGAAGTATTGGAGGAAGGCAGGCTCTCTGTTCTGTTGATTTTCTTACATCTCAGCAGATTGCCATCGACCCCCTAGGGCTCCCCTGCACAACTCCTTCAGAAATGTGTGTGTGAGGTTTGGTCATTCTCTCCTGCATGGAAGTCTTTGTGCATTTAACTTAAACCCTGCCAGCTGCAGCTTTCTCTCCTTGCTGCTGCTTTGCTGAATAGACACCCAAGTCACTTCTTTCTGAGTCTCTCCCTTGGGCCCCTGGTGTGAGAGTGACTCTGCTACTCTGGCCCCTGCACTCCTCCCTGGCAGAGCGAGGGTGAGCGAGGGCAGAGGCACAGAGCTACTGGCAGAGTGGCTCTCACTCTACTGTGGTGTCCAGGGCCTCCGAGGGCAGCTTAGGCCCTGGTGTGCTCACAGTGCACCGTGCAAGGTGGCTGTGGGAAGGGAGATGGGGACTGCCCAGGGCTGTCAGTCAGCAGTCAGCCAGGGGTTAAGAGCTGTGTTCATCCCACACAGCCCCTCCTACCACCCCATGGAAACCATGCATACTGTTGGCTTTGGCCTCCCACACAGGAGCAGGGGAAGATTCCTGAAGGCAGGGGCTTGTCCTCTATGTACCACAGAATCCCAGCTGCCTGGCGCCCAGCAGGTGCCCAGCTAACGGGTGGTAAATGAATGAAGAGTGTTGCTAGTGCTGACTGAGTGAATGTGGATGCAGAAGAGAGTCACCTGTACATCTAACTGTCCCTAGATGTCCCTAACCACTGTTGTAGGTGATGGCCTGTTGGTGTGACAATGACATGCGTGACAGACAGACACAGTGGCCATGAAATGGTGATTTTGAGCAACTGAAAATGTGACCCTATTGTACATAGTTATGTGCCATGGTGACCCTGCAGCAGGACTCTTGAGTGACAGGCAGAAATAGTGGTCTGTGACAGTGACCAGGGACCTACGCAAGCAGTAAGCAGAAGTCTAGGACCTACGGGATGTAGTTCACCTAATAGTACAGCAGCCTCGGAGGGACAGGAAGGCTACATGTGAGACAGGAAAGATAGACAAGCAGCCAGAAGATTGGGACTCGGCTGGTTTCAGGGGAGCAGGGGGCAGCATTCCCCCCAGGGTGGCTGGGAGGATGCCCAATGTGGAGTTCAGCCTGGGGAGCCAGACTCCAACCCAGGTCACCAGTGTTCACCATCTTTCAACTGGTTTCTGGGGGAGATAGGAGGAAGGGATGCTGAAGAGGTGGGGGGGTTCCCTCGCTCCCCAATACCCTCTTCTTTCATCCAGGCTGTCTCTTTCTCCTTAGGGCGAGGTCCCCAGTCCCACAAGACCCCCACTCGTGTGTTTTACCTCTCCCTGTACGACTCCTTTCTACCACATCCTGTGGTTGGGAACCCCCCTGCACCCCGTGTCCTCTCCTCCTTCCAGGAAGCTCCCTTCTCTTCCTGGGGTGCCCCATTCTTCTCTAGGGTCCCTTTCTCACCTTTCCTCCTTTCCCAAGGTGCCCTCTTCCCCCAGCGCCTCCCTGCTGGCCTCCTGTTCTCTGCCCTGGGTCACCCACCCCCACTCCCCTCCTCCTCCAGACACCCCCTTCTCCCTCACAGTGCCCCCTCCTTTCCCTGACTTCCCCTTTCTCCCTCCAGGCGCCCCCTCCCCCTCTTCCAGTGCCCTTTTCTCTCCCCCAGGTGCGTCCTTCCTTCCAGACTCTGGGGTGACTTCAAGTTCCAGGAAGGGGGAGGGGCACTGCCTGCTGGAGGAGGACAGGGGGGCCTGGCCAGGGGGAGGGAAGGGGTCTTAGGCAAACCCATGATGGGTGTCAGAGACCCCCCTCACCCACAGAATCTGCCGCTTTCTTCCCTCTGGACGGCCTGGCCACAGTTGCCCTGCCCCCTGGGTGATCTCACCTGCTGGGCTGGTGGCCGCTTCCTCAGTTCTGCTGGCCTCTGCCCTGGGACTCCATGCCCTACACCTGGGCTAGCAGCAACCCCTCTCCACCCGGTCGGTGCCCCTCGGCCCAGGCCTACCTGCTGGAAGTGCTCCCACCTTCTCCCTGCCCTTGGGCAGTGCTAGTCTGGCAAGGGGCCAGGCTCTGCCCACTGCCCCACCTCCCCCATGGTAACTCAATCCCAGCTCCCGCCCTGCAGGACACACCCGACCACTCAGTCCTCAGAGGGCTGGGCATTCAAACTTAATCAGTTAGTCAGTCCACAAATATTGACCAAGTTGTCTGGGAGCCAATCCCCTCCCCAAGGCCTGGCAGACTCACCTCCTGGGTACCAGGGGCCTGAGAAAATAGGGGAATGGAGACCTAGAGCTAGACCTCAGAGCTAGGCTGAGAGGTGGAATATACTATGATTTCCTTCTCTGGAGCCCAGATGGGCTCCTCTTGGGCCAAGCCACTGAAGCAAACTTTAGAAGGAAATAGAACTTAGGCCGGGAGTGGTGGGTTAGGCTCTGTGAGATCCAGGTCACTGCGGGAGATGGGGAAGGGGGCCACAGCTCTCTCTAGGTAACTCTGTTCTCTCCACCCCCATCTCTGAATTTGGGCTGGCTGCCCGGCACAGCCCTCCCCAGGGAATCTGATACCCATCGTGGGAGAGGCCATTCCAGCCCTTGCAGAGAAGTCGGCTCTCCCATACCTCAGGCCACACCTCCCCTGCTTTCCCACTGATGGTGGGGTGCAGGAGGTGCTGGAAATAGTGCCTTCCAGAAACTCCTAAGGCACCACCTACCCTTACCTGAGGCTACAGGCCTCAGTCCCAGCCAAGGCCCCGCCAGTGTAGGCGGCCCCTTCAAGGACATGCACTGGCCCCAAGACAAGGTTTCCTGTGCCCACTCTTCATCCTACTAAGGTTCCTGTCGTAGGGGTGAGGGGATCCAGGAACTCTGGGCCAGTCTGTGCCTAGTAGGACCACATCCAGAGCAGGCCTGAGCTTAACAAACGCAGCATCCCTGGGTCCCTATGTGTGAAGGATGCCTATGCCACAGGGTGGTCCCTGTTTCTCAGTGTGTCTGTATAATACCCACATGTGACAATACGCCTGTCTGTCCCTGGACCTGACAGTGAGCTTTTGGCCCCATCTGTCCCTACCTGACTGCCTGTCTTTGGTTTTAGCAAAATTCCGTGTCCTCACTCTCCCCACTTCCTGATTCCTCCTTGATACCCCATTGGTCTCTGTTCCCACATTCCCTGGAAGTGACTTTTTCCTAGATCACCAGTGGTGGCTGGTCCTGTCACCATCGCCCCCTCCCTCTCATTCCATCTCTTTCCTTTGGGCTTCTAAATGTCAGGGGGCACAGAGCTCCAGCCGTAGCTCCTGTCTCTTTCTACTTGCAGCCCCCAGGTGGTAAGTACCACGGCCACACTGGTGTCTCCCCTCTCCCCCTCCTACTCCTCTCCCCCACCCTCCTCCCAGCCTCTGTCCCGTCACATCTCTTGGGCACATAGACCCCAGGCCTCTCAGACCTACTTTCGCTGAGCCTGAGGAACATGTTCGATGGACATCCAGAGGATGGTTCAGCCCCAAACCTGGAGCTGTCCCAGGGTTCTTTTCCCTCACACCCACCCACAGGGCAGCCCCTGGACAGTCGGTTGCTGGTTCTGCATGGACCCTGTTCCAGGAGCCAGCCTCCACCAATAGGTAGCACGAGCTGCCCTCTCTGTTTCTGTCCCCCCTGGCATGATGTTCATTGTCTCACAGTAGCCAGGGGGATGTTTTTTCCAGACTTATAAAAATCATGGTAAAATAAGTCATTCCTTGGTATCCACAGGAAGATTGCTCCTGGATTCAATGGGAATACCATAACCTGTGGAGGCTTAAAAGCCTTAGGTAAAATGCAGTC